AACAGTTTATCACTCAATAAGATGGCATCGGTGGCGCAGCGGTTAGAGCGTTAAGTTGGACTCGGAACCAATAGGACCTGACTGTGTGTCCTCGGGAAAGGCACTTCACACTACCTTCCCTTCCCTGACGATGAAGTGACGCCAATTTCTAATCTGTTAAATGTGCTCCAAAAACATCTGCATATTTGCCACCAAGAGCCGGAATTTTATTTCATCTCTCACTGTGACGGATAGACCATCTGACGCGGGACGATTGTCACACTGGCTCCTGACGTCACTACCAACTGTCCATCCGGACTCATTGAAACACCAATTGGTCTAAGTATATTCAGCACAGTGCGAACAAAATCACCAGAATGCGTGAACATGTCCACTCGGTCATTACCAGTGTTCGCCACGATGATGTGACCCCAAGTGTCCACACAAATACCCAGGGGACCAGACAGTTCACCTTCCTCTCTTCCCAAGTTTCCAAATTTGAATAAAAAAGTTCCATCGGTGTCGTAAACGTGGACAGTGTTGCCGGATTTGTCCGAAAGAAAGACTTTTCCCTCGTTGTTTGTTGTGAGATGTCCTGTCGTATACAGTGGGTCATTTCCAAATTGTCGACCCTCATAGACTGAACCCTCTTCTTCAAACGCTAACAATTTGCCCCAGACAGCCGCCAATATCCTGCTATTCCGTACGTCGAAAGTTATACCACCGTCAGCGGGACCAGGGACAAGACCCCATCCTGTTTCAAGCTGGGTCTTTGGCAGTCCGCCCTGACTGTACTGCACTACGTGAAAACAAAGGCCTCCCGCGATGCTGTCCTTATACCTTGATTCCCCAAACACCCATATATCATTGTCCGTGCCAATATCAACATCGTAGGGTTTCATCACAGTCTTCCTTTTACAAAGCACCGCCGTTTCATTACCTGGCACTACGGTTAGGAATTGGCGCAGGTACCTCCCATCCAAGCTGAAGACTTGGACTCGTCTGTTCTCTCGATCAGTCACAAACACCTCGTTGTCAGTAGACACAGTCACTCCTAGGTAATATGGGATCGCCCTTGCCCCATACATTCCTATTATATATGATCAAAGTATTAATTAAGAGTAGTTATTCCACGAAGAATGCCATCAATAATGAAATTCCAAGGGCACATACATGTACATGCAAGTTAGCAACGGTCCGGATCGAGCCGAATATATAGATGGCTTTGATCCGGCTTCGATCTGGACAATTTTACCCTACTAGTGGGAAAAGGGCCACAAAGAGAGAGACAGAGAGAGAGAGAGAGAGAGGCAGAGAGACAGAGAGAGACAGAGAAATCTACTAGTTTTACCAAAGACTTGAAAGTGTAGAATATCTGAAATACGTATGTTAGCAACATGCTAAATGTAGGCTTAGTTTCCGTAAATCTATGCCAACTCACCTCCTGATGTGCCTGATATCATTGTGAGTGTAGGTTTAGCAGTAGGGACATTGGCATTGCCATTGGTAGATGTGTCGTTAGTCGATATTCCCTGAATAATGAAAGATTAAGTATTAGCTGTGGTTCTTTCTTATTTCAGAACATAATAGTGTTTACTTGGGGGGGGTGCATTTCGTTTGGTTTAGAAGACAGAAAAAAAAGTCGCATGACAAATAAAATATTTCATAAGGTTGGTGATGATTGAATAGCAAAGTTCTTAATTCACAACCACATGTACTTGCTTGTGCCGTCTGGTCCAGGTCATTGAATTTGTGTTTGGAGAAGAAGAAGAAACTGAGCAAAAACAATGTGTTTTACTTCTGCTAACTTGAAGGTAAACATATAATATGACGCTTACCAGTAGACTGCCCTGATAGCTCGTGAAAAAAATCACAAGGAAAACGATGATCGACGAAACCGGGATAGCAACCACCAGAGGAGCATACTTCATGAACACCTGTCGAAATCTACTCCCTGAAAAAATACACATTACAGCAACTTCAAAGCAACGTAAAGAAAAGTTTCGAAAAAAGGGTGTTACTAAGTGAAAAAGTCGACATACCTTTTTTTTTTGTTATATCGCTCTCGTGTAATTTACTAACAAAATAACAACATCCAAACCTACAAGAACAAAAAATGAAATGTACATTGCACCAATGGGGCATCATTGCACATCCACATTAAAAAATGTGTAAACACCAAAAACAACTAACTAATAGAGGAACTGAACTAAACTGAAAGCAAATGATACAAAATCAAATCTCCTAAGAAAAACTTAAAAGATATTTGATGAGGATTTATCTTACCAAAAGTAGCTTGCTCTTGCCGAACGTTGTTGCATTTATCGTGAGAGACCGGGGCGTTCCTTGGAGGTACCTGTCTTTGCGCGTCTTCGGAACTTGCCTCGGTACCAAGCATGTCATCCTGACACACGGCGTAAGGTTCGATATTGTCCTCACCAATGTCAGCATCGATTGTCTGTCTGCTCTCAGCTGCAGTAGCATTTGTCCTGTCGTCGTCGTCTTCCTGGTACCTTACGGCATACGGCTGGATGCGTTCGATGTCTTTACGCTCATCGCTCTCAGTTACAGTTTCACGTATGTCATTGTTACCATCATCGTCTCCCTGGTGCCTTACGGCATACGGCTGGATGTGCTCGATGTCTTTACGCTCATTGCTCTCAGTTACAGGTCCACGTGTGTCATTGTGACCATCATCTTCTCCCTGGTGCCTTACGGCATACGGCTGGATACGTTGGATGCCCTCACGGTCTTCAGCCTGAAGCTCAGAGGGTAGATTTTCCCCGTACGTCGGATTCAGTTTCCGCGGATACGGTGCGTTGTAGCACTGGGCATTTTGCGCATCTGGGTCTAAGGCTCTCTGCGAGTTCATAGGATTCGGGGTTTGGTTGTACGTCGGATTTTTCGTACCTTGGATGCAATGATCATCCCCGGCACATGCTGATGCTTCAGATTCTTCCAGTTTGACCGAATTATCGTTTGTGCTACAGGAAGATGTTTCAGCTTCCTGGCAGGATTCCTCGCACTGTGACTCCCCTAAAGGTATCTTCGGAAACGTCATACCATCATCTATGCTTCTGCACGCCACTGGGGAGGGTTCAGGATAGAAATTACCAGATCCGGCTTGCCCTGATCCAGTGTCTGAATTTGAAATTACTTGGGCCATATTGTTGCTGCCTGAACTGTATGTGGGGGACTTTGGAGCGATGTAGGAGCCGGTGTTGTCTTCAGCCTTGAGTGCGAAAGCTGTGGACGACGTGTCAGCTACACGTAGATTCACGATCAGTCTTCTTGCAACTGCTTTATTTATTGTTAGGTTTGCTCAAGGACATTGTATCTTAGCTTCCTCTTTTTTTGCGTTAACTTTGTAGTTTCGCTTCCCTTTCGTTTCTTTTGACAAATAGGAACGTTTGAACAGTTCTAGGGACTTATGGAATGACCTTGGATTAACCTTTGCAAAGGTTTTCCGTTATCATTTTTCCTTTACCAAGGACGTTTTACTTGTAGAATGTCCTTGAGTTTACATATGAGGGGATTCTATAAAGTATACTGAGGTACAGATTGATATGCAACTGCTCTGATTGAATTTCAGTTGGCTCTTTCCTTTCGTGTGTAGTTTTCCTTCCCTTTCACGTGCCGTTCTTGTTTTTTGTTCAAAACGCTCGAATAGTTCCGGCGGCTTTAATATATTGGATTAAACTTTGCAGTGCTTAATTCGTTTTATATCTACTCATTGTCCTTTGCATATCAGTGAATTTTGAGTGAGTTTTGTTTCTTGTTACTCTTTCTATGGACTTCAGCGTCTGATGTAGACGGACCTTTTTCTGCCTGTCCTTGAATTTGTTTACTACAACATTGTCTTGCTTGCTAAGACATTATGACAAATTACTGCTCACATTATTAGTTTGTATCATTAAACATTATGATAGCGGCAGACCGGGCAGTTAATCTTTCTTCTATCTACAGACAGTTCCGTACCACACACCAAAGTTATTACCTCCATGAAAAATGGAGGTATTGTTTTTGGCGTGTCTGTATGTATGTATGTATGTATGTATGTATGTCTGTCTGTGTTTCCGCAACTTTGTGGTCAGCCTAACTTCAGAACGCCTATATGGATTGTGATGATATTTGGTATGATGGTAAGTCTTAGAAAGACAAAGGTCAAGGTCAAGTATAGGCCTCCCGGTGGATGACCTTGGTACTGCAGCAGAACTTCCGGTTTTTGTATCTTTTGTCCTGAACAAGCTATGGTCTTGACTTTTTGGTGACAGATAGCTTATCCTGTCAGGAATAAGTGGGGTAAGTTTGGTCCCCCTAGCAGCTTGTTCTGGAACTGCAGGTTAGTTTCTGGTAAAACCTTTCAAAGCCAATAAGTCCAGATTGGAACAACGTATTTTCATCATTTTTGGTGTGTAGGTACCTGAGTGACAGTTGTTCATGATTAAATGCAAATTATGCAAATGAGGACCTAATTTGCATAATTAATGAGAAAATTCTTACAGTGTTATACATGTGTTATACATGTAATCTATTTAATCTGTGGAAGATGGAACATCAACAGATACCAATTATGCAAATGGTGACCTAATTTGCATAATTAATGTGAACATTTTGTGACTTCTTATTGGTGAATGATGGGAATTTTATACCTCGTGACATGTATAAGTTACTTAAAGGTATGCATATATTATGTTAATGTAGAAGTTATTTGCATAATTAATGACGATATGTTGAAATGAAGTATGACAAAGCAAGCCCATATTTCATGGAGGTATGAGATCTCAGAACTCTTGTTGGTTCTGTCGCCTGTGTAAGCTATCCAGCTGTTACTTCCCACAAACCGGACGGTTCCAGCGTTACCATAGAGTTATCTGGACAAGTGTGTGTGTAAAATAATTGCACAGCCCTGGTGTAGTTCTGAGAGGGCATGGTGATGAAATCGAACACACAGCACAGTATGTATTGTAATTGCTCTGTTTGCTAGATATACATTGTAATAAAAGGTATTCATAAACATGTTTGACTTCAGCAACAACAAGCTTTATTTGTGATAGACCGTCACACCAACGTCAATACTGTTCAACCAAGTCGACTTCATTCACTTTGATTGATTTGCTGTAGTGGTCTTCATTCATGCGTTTCTTTGCTCTTACACGGAAACGTCGTTAAATTTTATCATAAGTTGGGGCTAGTTCACTTAGATAACCGTTGTGACCTTGCGGGGATTATTAATCCATGGTAAATTATACGTTAATGATGTTATGTTTTGGGGATGCAGTGCGTCAGTAGTTCGCTAGGGTATGGGTGACACGTTGGCGCCTCGGCTTGTTGCGTAGGGAATTCATTTCTAGTCAGAGGTCTTCCTTCCTACAGTTAGAGAGAAGAAATACAACAAAAACATAATCAACAGAATGACGAAATACGACCCCATTCCACTTAGTGGCGTTCTCACGGCGCTCTCTCTGTGACCTGAAATTGGCTAGAGCGTCGTAAGAGCACCGAACTCCACAAAAAACGTGCTCAAGTGGAATCTCTACGGCGACCTATCTGCGCGACCAAAACTCTAATGTCAGCAACGGTTTTGGGCGATCAACGAATTCATAGCTCACTCAAGGAATTCCGGAAAAGGAGAACGAAATTTTGTACGTTTTCTCTCTTTCAAAGTCATTCTCGTACATCCTCAATCATATTGAGATTATATGAAATCGAGGGTGTAAGGCACCAATTTCACTAGGACGCTCTCTCTGCGCTCTCTCTGATACCTGAAATTGGTCGGAGCAAAGAGACAGAGCCGTGAGAGCGCCGAGGTCGCCATGTTTTTTATCTAAATTAATGTTGGGGCCGTTGCGCGCACGCATGGCGCTCGCTTCACGCTCTCTTCGCGCTCTCACTGCGCTCTCACGGTGCTCATCGTTGCATGCCCCCCCCCCCCGTCTAAGTTGAATGGGGGTATGAGATCGCCGTCCTCTACTTAGACGGCGATCACCGTGAGAGCACCGTGAGAGCGCGCAACAGCCGCAACATTATTTCAGATACAAAACGCTCCGACCAATATCAGGTTGCAGATAGAGCGCAGTGAGAGCGTCCTAGTGAAATGGGGACCATACACACTAAATATGATGCAGGATGTACAAGAATGACTTTGACAACCAGAAAACGTATAAAATTTCGTTCTCTATTTCCGTAATTCGTTGAGTGAGCTATGAATTGGTTGATCGCCCAGAACCGTTGCTGACATTTGCGTTTTTAGTCGCGCTTAGAGCGCAGAGAGGTCGCCGTAGAGATTCCACTTGAGCACGTTTTTCCTGGAGTTCGGCACTCTCTCCGCGCTCTGGCTAATTTCTCGTCGCGGAGAGAGCGCCGTGAGTTCGCCGTCTAAGTAGAATGGGGGTATCACGGCGATGTAATGACCCGATTCCATACAGTCGCCGAGGTGACGGCGCTCATGGCGCTCTCATGGCGCTCTCATGGCGACTTTGGCGCTTTCTCCACGCTCTGACCAAATTCAGGTCGCAGAGGGAGCGCCGTGAGAGCGTTGTCTAAGTGGAATGGGCTGTTCATATTCAATTCCACAGTGACAGTACAACCGTCCAGAAACGGTGCACGCTGTTACTATACAGAGGTAAAAATGGATCTGTATCGTATGCATACAATGTCACAAATCGAATAGGATCGTGATCGACGATGTACAATTTGAAAGACACAAACTTACAAAATGCACTTCATCAATGAAACTAATAATGAAGTATTTTTGCCGTTCAACGGTTTCTGAATGATCGCCCGGTGCTTCAGTGAACAGGAGATATTGAGGAATTATGCATAAATATCATCAAAGGTCTCGTACCTAGGTTACACGGTCCCCAGAAATGCTTAATGTCGTCGACGGCTATGTCTCCGGTGAGACCAGTAGCGGTAGTACTACGGATGCCGATGAACATCACCTGTGGACAATGTACAACGTCAGAACTTTGTGATAACCTTGGGGGACCTAAATTGAGTAGTACAAATGATTTACCAAAACATGCATTTGCATCAGGAAAATGACTATAGTGTCTCTGCTCCCATAATGTCACGAGGTACCTGAAACACACCACATTGAAACAAACGATAGTATCGAGGCCTTCTCAAAAATGTATTGAACATCTGGCATGAACATATGAAGTATGCATACCCCAGGGATTATTGATCAGAAAATCGTTTTCGATTCACCTTTTTTCATGTGGTGGTCTTAGATAGAGTACCGAGTGGAATTATTATATGAGGAATTTTTTTTAATCGGAAATCCAATTTTAGGGAGTGTTTATTGACTTTGCATTGTTTGAAGAATCTCTAGGCTAGATCTTTAGGTCGTGTTAGAATTAAGTGTACTTACCTGGCCCACAGGCGCGTACAGGTCTATGGTTTCCGTGTACCAGACGTCGCCCTGGTTGCCAGACCGATCGAACGGCTGGTACCAGGCGCTGGTGCCGTTCTGCACGTACACCTTGAGGTCTCCCACGTCGGCGCCGTACATGTGGTAGGCGAACTGCAGGCACGTTCTGGCCGGCGAGCCTGGGGCGACTGTGGGGCTCAGAAGGAAGGCGGCGTCGCCGGGACTCAGCTCCGCAGACTCCGTGTACATGTAGTAACCTGTCCCGGCAAAGTAACAACCGTTCGGGTTCGGTAAATGTTTTCAGTAATACAGAGTAGCACTGAGATACAAACTCTTTGAGAAACGTAGTCGGTGGCGAAAAGCAGACCAGTGCAATAGCCTAGTGGGGAGAGTGTTATCGGGTGGTCGCTGGTTCAAACCCCGGCCCCATCATTCCATATGCCACTTTCGATAGACTCGATACAAACATACTGATTTCTATGATTATAGCAATCAGCACGTACGATCGAGAAAGAAAACTGTACGTTGAGCAAAGTATAAACTATCCCTTACCAGATCCGGTCGTGTGGTCTGCGTCTGGGCCTGTGAGGTTGAAGGTAGTGGGGCCCTGGTTGCGCGTGAACTTGTAGTTGTAGTAGCCGCACTGGTCTTGCTCGAAGTCACAGTCAACGCTAGCTCCGGGAGTGGCGACTGCAAAAAAAGTTAAGCAAAGCTAATCAGAAGAAACGTTTGGATAGATAGAACAGATCTCTGTTACATTATGGGTTTGGAGTAAGTAACTGGAAAGTTAAAATTAAAGATTCCATCAATGACAGATAATTTTTTGCACAACAACAGCACAAGATACAAAGTATGGCATCTACTAGTGCATATTAAGTACACTTCCATAAGGCTTATCTAGCACAAGAGTGAGTGGCTAGTATGCATTGATAGGTATGAACTTTTTCAATCAATGACATGAACTTGTGCAGAATAAAGAAGCTCACCTGAGCCTTGACAGACCACAGATATATCATGTGGGTGTGTGCATCCACCATGTGTTCCCCATCCGTCATGAGTACACTGCTCCACATTCGTCTCGAAGCCGGTACACTGCAGGTTGTTGAGCCAGATGGGCCCGTCTCCCGGCCCGTAGTGGGCGCCGTAGTGGAAGGTGCCGAAGTCGGGGTAGCCGAGCTGGCGACAGATGACTCTGGCGTCAGCAGCGCCGAACCCGTCGTCACAGATGGTCCCCCAGATACCGTCGTACCTCACCTCCACCCTGCCGGAGTTGGGGCCGTCTGTGCCGTCGGCAAGACGGACTACGATTTCTGCAGAATACATTTGAGAGCGGACTATGAAAAATTGTATCAGAGGCGTAGAAGAAGTTGCGAGAAAATGCCCAGTATACCTACTGCCAAAAAAGGCAAAATATCCTCTTTCCGATCTGTCTATGTGTTTCCCCGTAACGGAACTTATGTGTCATTTTACTCTAAGTTTCACTGTCAACCAACGTTAAGGAATCTGCTATCTGTAAAATGTGTATGTTTCTAGGTAACTATATACAGTACGTACCTGCAAACTCCATGTACGTTGTGTTATTTTCTGACTCATGGTCCCACTGTAAAGTACTACTAGTGGTGACACCACTGAACCAGACAACCCTTCTTATGCTTCGATCCCAATTGAAAGGGCCCAGCCTGGAAGTCCCCGGGCTGTCTTTTGGCATTTTCGGCCCGTACGTGGCCCCGCGGGACACCCTGCGGCTACCGGGCTATTTTTCGGCCCGGTGGGGACCCGAGAAGAATTTAATTCTGACTTAAATTCTACCCGGGCCCCGCTGACAAAAAGACGCCGTGACTTCATCGTGAGAACACCGAGAGGTACCCCTCCAGTTGCCAGCAATCCTTCGGGACACATTTGTTACGTCACAGACCAGATGAACAGAATAAAGGTGTGTACTTCGTAAACCCGGGTAAAATGTGTGAGATCACAGATCAAAGGATCACAAAAAAAGCGTGAATTCTGCATTACGTATAGGTCAGTACATTACATCGTCAGAGAGTCTGCCGGGTACCTGCCAGGTGCCTGCCGGAGACCGACCAAAGAGGGTGGCAAAACTTTTAACAAAATGCCACTGAAGGAAACTTTTAATTGTGACCACGACAGCCGATGCCCGCCCGACTCCTGAGCCCGACCGGGGCCGGCCGGGGCTACATCCCCGACGGGCACCGGCGCAATTGGGACAGAAGCTCTAGCACAGAAATGGAAAATAAAGCTGGACATCGTTACCTTGTTTACAGACGACGCTGAGATCGTGTGCGTGTGTGCAGGAGTTCACCCCCCAGTCCGCGTGGTTGCAGCCTCTCACCGTCAACTCGTCCCCGGTACACTTCAGGTCGCTCAGCCAGATCTTGCCGGTCCCCTCGCCGTAGAAGGCGCCCCAGTGGAAGGTTTCGTAGTCGGGGAAGCCGAGCTCCCGGCAGATCACCCGGGCCTCGTTCGCGCCGGTGCCGTCGTCGCAGATCGTTCCCCACTCTCCATTGACCTTGACTTCTACTCGGCCGTAGCTGTAGCCGCCGTCCATCAGGCGGATGTCGTAATCTAGGGAATTAACAGAGAAAGAAAGGGAAGAACTATGTTATATGAATGAATGTGTGACAAACTTTTTTGTTCACACATACCCACTTGGAAGTGCAGGTCACAACAGAGGAATAGTATACAGATAATGTCACACACACACACACACACACACACACACACACACACACACATGAACATGTCCATGATCGAAGGTTTGTCTAAGTTCATTAGAGAGATAAATTTGTCTAAATCATATTATCAGCGCTACCCTTTACCAAAATATAATCTTTGACGCCTTTTATTGCAACGTTTGGGCAAAAACAATACGCTACAAATGCCATTGTAATTGATAACTTGTAGCTTTGATAACTGTAATTCTGTACTCACCGCCCAGATTGATGACGGCTGGAATGGTTGTTGCCGGCACGGGAGTTGTTGGAGCTTCTGTTGCGGCTACAAAATGCACAAAACAACATGTTTAAGGGGCATTATGACAAAAATGGCTAAACGTTCTGTCCAACACTTAGTAAACTGGGACTTACCCAAATGTAGCCTTTTTGGCATACTGTACTTCATTATGCCAAAAAGGCTACATTTGGGTAAGTCCCAATTTACTAAGTGTTGGACAGAACGTTTACCAATTTTTGTCATACCAACACAGATGAACGTTCATGCTATCCTTATGGCCAATATGATCACATGTCGTGAGTGTAGTGACCTACTCAAACATATTAACGTTGGCTAGAGCAATGACATTTATCTCTGTCTGCCTATATCTCTCTCTTTCCCTCTCTCTCTCTCTCTCCGTCCNCTCTCTCTCCTCCTCCTCCTCCTCCTCCTCCTCC